GCAAGCAGGATGTTTTCCAAAGAGGGACTGAGAGAATGATATGGAAAAGAGCTGTCTGACAGGGTAGGGCACACATTCTCCTGTAGAAAAGCTTATTTCAGTATCACACAATGGGCTTTATTTTTACTTCTGCTGGCTTCTCTGGGGCTTTGTTGGCTACATGACAGCAACACGCGAACAATATGTTACTCATCCAAAGCTACCTGGCATGACTACCCGAAAAAAGAAGAGAACAGTGAATAAATATGGCTCAGAAGGAAGTGACAACAGCACCCACATTTTCAAATAGGTTAATCTTTGTTTAAATTGTGTTTTGATGAAGAAGGATTAAACGATGTGCTGGAAATGGCACAGTATGACTAATGAGAGGATTCACAGTTACATGATAGGAGAGGAAATATCAGAAGGGATATAAGCCATCAGGCATCCACACACTTCCACACACTGGTGGACTGTCAGGAAAACATTTTGCTGATTGGCACACGATACTACTGTTGGCTGTTTTTCTAATCTTCCTCTGAGATGTTTCAGAACATTAGAACTATCTCCGGAGGATCCAGAGATGAAAACGTGGGCTCAGAAGTATCTTGTAGCAGCTCCAGGCTATGGCTGCGTGAACAAGTTGGCCTGAGATGAGTTTGGGCTGATTTCTGGCCTGTCCATTCCTCCCCAGTCACAGCCCAGCTGCTCACCTTGACACTGCAGAGGACTGAAAGCATCTTCCTGGGTGTTCATGGCCAAGGAAGCACACTGACATTTATTGAAGGGTAGGAGCTGCACACAGGCAGATCTTTCTGGGATGGAAAACTTGTGATTTGTTGTTTGTGCTTGGGCAGGAGGGGATAGCAGGAATGTCATAGCCCCATTGATTTGGTAGGGGAGCTAAATTTTCAGTTATACGATGAACATTAGTGTCATGTTGCAATTCTATGCATATTTCCTCAAGAATTTTCCAGTCCTTTATTAGACCATTTAGTCTGGGTACCGATAGTATTAGTGACATATAATAATAATTAGTTCTACTTTACAGAAAGTAGCGCTGAAACAGAGCAATGACATAGCGGGTGCTGTAGTGTTAAAGTCACAGCTGTGTTGGTATTGCAAGACTTTGGGGACACCACAAAGTTTTACAGTCAAAGTCAGTCAGAAGACAGTGAGACAGCACCTGGCAGCCCAAACCAAGCCCTAGCAGCAGTGCTCACACACAAAACAAACCACCTTTTCCTCCTGACAGAGATTTTGATCACTGATTCCTATGGCACTGGATACACAAAGGAAAATTCCTGTATCAGGAAAAATCCTTTAAGAGAGAGAAGAGGTCTCTATGCTCTGTTCAGTTCAGTTGCAGCATTTCAGGACTTATCCAAAACCTAATGGATCAATGGGAATCCTTCCAGTGACTTCAGTGAGGTTTTATAAGGCTGTAATTCATGGCCTGGTTGCCGCGATTGTGCACGTACCTCTCACAGTACCATTGAGGGTTGTGCTTTTGAAAAAGATTTAAGCAAACAGGGCTCCTCATCAACAGTTTGCATACGGCAACAAGTTTCCTCACTTGAGAACGATTTGATAGTGAGGTTTGTCTCCAACTGTCTAAAAGTTTTCTGCAATAAGTGAAGGGAGAAAAAGCTGTTTTTGACCCCACTTACAGACGGGTTCCAGCTGTATTAGGTTTTAGGCTACTTTTCTGATAAGAGGTAAATATTTAACATTAATGCTAAAAATGCCTTAGGATTAAGGAGCTCTTTGGAGTTAATGTGAGTGTTTAGCAAGGGACTGCGAACTGTCTCCTGATTCAGAGGAGAAAGAGCATGCTCTGGTGTAAAGGTTCAGGTTCCCCTGTGGTTATTTTCTTCCCTTTGGACAAGGGTCTCAGCAGCATGGCCTACCAATCCTCCTGCTACACCTGATTCTCTGTTTCTTTTTTTCTCCTTGTGCTTTTTGAAGAATCTGTCCCGTCTGTTTTTTAACCATGCTGCTCATTTGCCCACCAAATCCTCCCTTTGCTCTCCAGCATCCCCCCTAAGCCTTATTTCCACACCAGCCTCAAAGCAAGCTGTGTTCCTTAAAAGCCAAACAGGGTTTTAATACCCAGCCAGCCAAGAGAGGCTGGTATTGCGTGGCAGCTCGTGTACCTGCTTGCACCCACAAACAAGGCCCAGCAATCCCTGCCTCCTGCTAGAAAATACCTGGGTTTGAAACCACAGAGCTGCAGACACAAAGACAGGGCTGTGGTCAGGACAGGGCTGACTCTCTCTAGGCAGCATTTAGTGATGCAGGATTAAAAAAAATAAAGATCACAGTACGTACTCTGTAAGAGCATATATATATGTGTGTGTGTAAACCCAGAGCCACGCACATTCATAAACAAACCACAGAACACACTGCAATGCTTGAACACACTCCAGTGTGCCTATGGACATCTTGTTCTCTCCCTCCTTGTGTCCTTGAGGTATCAGGTTTCCTTGTTTACGCTCTGCCTCATTCAGGATCTGGAATTCCTAAAGAGAAGCAAAACACAATCATGTGACTGAAGACTCATTTCCAGGAAAATCGGAAGAGGTTCTAGGAAAGGTCAGTGCTCACGTTCTCACTTGCTCCCATCAAAAGACAGGATGGAGGAGAGAAAACTGGTGTGAAGTCCCTGATCCTTTGTCTCCGTGTTAAGCCCAGGGTCAGCTCTTAAAGGAAAATTTAATGCTTAATGAGTTTCTTAGTCCTTATGTTTTGTTTTTCCCTTCTTTAATGGTTTATTCATACGGAACACGTCACACAGAAGCAGGATTGCTGCCTCCTGGGCTGTCAGTTGTTCCAGTGGCTTTCTTATCTCCTGTAGGGTTATTTTTTGCATGTGCTGCCACAAGTGGTCATGGCTCTGGCTGTGCTATCACTAAAAAGACCACGAGACATCCAGACTACATTGCTTATAAGGGACTCCACATTAATGTACTAATAGAAAAAACAAAACCAGCAGCCCCAGGTCCCATATACCAAGAGCATAAATGAGAACATTGTTAAAGCTCTTCTCATTTTGCAAGTGCAGAAGTGGTGAACCTTGATTGGGGTTACCTGGATGGGTAGCAACACTCACAATGTTGATAGTCACGGATAGGAAGGTGTGTGATAGACACACGCTGCTGAAACCTAACCCTGACAGTGCCTTGATCAGGTAAGATGATGAATATGGTGGAAGCAAGTGGTAGAAAATGCAATGGAAATCCCTAGTTACCTAGCCAATGGAAGACAGGAGGACAGTACTCACAGGTAGGATGTTGGTAGAAGAAAGGTAGAAGTCAGGTGGCTGGCCCTGCCCCATGGGGCCATTTTGGCTATTGCTGCCATGAGGGAGGGACATGGTAGGGATGTTAGCTATTCTTGGGAGCTACTGTCAAATCCCTCCTACAGGCTGCAGCTGCAGTTTCCAGCCCTCTGATCCTGATGGCAGCAGCAGGAGAAATTAGCTGAGCTTCCTTAGGTTCTTCATTTCTGTTTTGCACGTTACTTGTCTACCTACAACATTTCCTAAAGGGTCTGTGCCATTCCTCCTTAGGATGTGTGGTTTTACTTTTGGCCATGCTGTTGTTAAGTGCCCAGCTGGGCTAAGAGCACGTTTTCCTTCGTCCATCATTTTCTCCAAGTCCGATATGGCCTAGAAATCCCTTTGTAATGTAATCTGACTGGTCTTTCCTCAACAGATGCTATGGCAGACTATCCTCAACTGTATTTTGGGGTTGATAAATGAACCCTTGGGTGATGAAAGATAACTCAGTTTGTTCTGATAACATTGTGATTAACAGCAAAAATTCCAATTGTATAGATTTCTGTGCTGTAGCTGTGTGTCTTGGTGCTTTTTGGTGTTGATTTTTTTTTTTTCTGGTCTAGCTCCAACAAGAGCTTGTACAATCATGCTTAAGTTTTAGCAAGAATCTTGCAAAGATTCTCATGTGCTTAAGTCCTGTGTTAGATCCAGGCTCAAACTCTCAGCCCCAGGCAGGCAGGACTAAGCTTGTGACAATTTTCTATTACTGCACAAATCTGCTGGAAAAATCCATCTGTCTGGAGAGCTGCAGCAGGTCAAGGGTTTAAAACATTCCCCAGACATCCTTCACTTGTGTAACCAGCTCACATATCCACACAGGCAGCCCGCACAAAGTCCCATCGTGCTGTGTCAGTATTGCAAGGGTCAGTGGTGAAGTTGCTTGAGAGAGAAGTACCAACAAATCTGCAGTTAACACACCGCTGCTCCTTTGCTGTGAAGTGAGTGGTAGGTACTCTACGCTCCAGTGACCATTCCAACACAAATCGGTGTTAGATTATGGAGCAAATCCAAGACTTGGAGAAGCAATAAGTAAAATTCGTGCCGTCTGCAGTCTTTATTCATGAGGCATGCTAACTAGGTGTTATTCACACAGGTGCCTGTAAAGTCTGGAATGTGCTGCTATGTTATGAAAAGAAAAATCGTAGCTGTAGCATGGTAAATACCTACAGCACCTGATGTGGAATTAATTTCAGTAAATCCTGATTCACTGGCTGAAGTCTAGGCTGCAACACAGAATTCACCATACGGCCTGAGATCAGGGCCTTAGCTTCTCTTGCTGATAGTGGCCAGTGGTGGTTATTTGCAGGCAGAGAAGAAATGGGTATGGCTAAAGCCTGTATTTTCAGCTACAGCCAGCAGCAAATCAGGGATCTTCTAAGCCATGAGTTCCTTGTGGGTTTTCAGGTTAATGCTAGAGATCACCCATGGGCTGATCCTCTGTTTGAACACACTCGTGCTTTTGGCCTCCATAATGTCCTGCAGCAACCAGTTTCACAGGTCCATGAAGCTCAGCATGAGATATATTTGTGTTTATTTTAAATGTATGTAGTAGTATACTGTTTTATGTAGCGCTTTTGAACGTGTTCCCTTATCCATGCAACAACAGCAGGTAGTTGTTCCCTGAGTTCAAGTCCCTTTTATCAATCAGTTGTCTCACCGCTGGGTTCTTGGCTACTCACAGAGGTGAGACTGTGAAGAGAAAGTCCTGGACCAGAGAAGCCCTATCCCAGAAGATAGATACCTGACTGACTGCTATGTCAGAGTTTGCACTGAGTGAAGTCTGGACGCAGTCTGTTTGCTGACCAGCAGCTGCCAGGCTGCAATTCCAGCCAGTTTTGAATCAACAAGCCTGGCTCTCATTTTCCTGAGATCTCATCAGAGCTGCTATCAGCTTGGATCCGACCTGGTGGATCAATGAAAGTTATGACGCTATATGGATTTGTTTTTCAGTGGCATTGATAAAAGAGTGTTGCAAGATCCTCATCTCAGACTCAGTCTGGCTAACTGAAGGTTGTGAAATTTCCAAAGATGACAAGGGGAAAAAAGAGAAAAAAAAGCAAAAAAAAAACAACCATTCTCCCGTGTGTTGCAACTCTGAGTGCAATCAGTTGCAAACAATAATTCTCTCACTGGACACTCAGCTTCATTTTAGTTGGGTCCATGGAAAGTAATTTCTATATATATCAGCTAGATGTCTGACCTGAGGGTTGAAACAAAGAAATGTGCTTGCAGAAATGTTGCAAATGCAAAATTCTGGCACTGAAGTCCAAGTTCTGCCCTTGACTAATGTAGTTTGTCTCAAAATTGTGACCACATTGAGTAGTTGTACAGGGAAAGGGAAGAACTGAACCATTTTGAAGAACATCTGTAAGCTAAAAACCAAGAAGTAAGATCCACTAGGAATGGAAATACTTGATTAATGTGCAACACTGAAGCGAAGATATTTGCTGTGAAACAGCTCCCAGATCTACAATGCTGCTTCAAAGCATTCCTCCTCATCTTTGACAACCATGGCTTTACCTGCTCTGCTGGATGAGAGGATCCAGTTCCCCTTGCTCAGCATTTCAGCTTCTCTCTGATGTGCTTACCTCTTCTGCTAGCCCACTAGCTGTGGGCTGGTGACTGCAATGTGAAAGTACTGTGTTTAATTGGATCTGATTCCCACAGCAAACTAATGAAGCATCTCTGTTATTAATGGGGACACTTTAACAGTTGACCATGATGTAAAGACAGGAAGAGTTTACTGAGTTTTCAGTGATATTGGTTGGATTATAGCAGAGCAGAGAAGCCCTAGTCTTAGGTCAAGGTCCTTGTGAAGGTAACGTACAGGCAGTTCATACCTCAATGAGTCTGATCAGAGTTTAGCAGGACTTTCCCAAAACATTCCTTTAAAGAAACTCAGAGGAAGGAGAGAAAGGGGAAGAATCAACACAATTTGCACCTGGGAGTTGAGGAAAACAGCAGAAAAGCTCTGGGAAATTCTACTCCAGCTTTTGCATTTGGCAGAATGGCTTCATGGTAGGATTTCAAGTGCTCAGAAATCCCCTGGAATATGGTCCAAAACAAAAAATAATCTAATCAAATCCAATCTCATCCAATCTAATTTCATTTCTCACTATTGTGAAATCACCACAAAAGCATCTGAGACATTTTTACTTTTTTAAATGCTAAGCTTCTGCAGGATAAACTTATACGTATTACTGCTATATAGGCACTGTTCCTTAGCAGAATTATAACTTAACTGAACTGCAGTATGTTGCAAGAGGAAATCCTTGTCAATGACAGCCATGGCCACGAGAAGCCTTGTCAGTGTTTCTACTAGGATCACCATAAAAATGATAGGAATATGTCACATCATGACCATCATTATATTTTTCCCACTGTGGAATTGCCATTGTAGGTGATCTTCCAGCAAGAGCAAAATATTGCAGTTTACTGATACCTCCATGGGCCTGATTTCAGTGACCTTCCACATTCATGCAAGAAAGAATTAAGACAATTCTGCAACTGAATCTGAAAGAGCAGGTGTAAGAGTAGGTCAAAGCTCTTCATATCTTTTAATGCAGTAAATAATGTTGTATGTGTCTTGTAACAACCACTTGAGGTGGTGCTTAACACTTCAGTTTTCCATTTCTCCTTGACAACTATCTTGATCACTGGATTTCTATATTTGTAATTGATGTTACATTGGACTCTGGATATGAAAACTAATGACAAGAGAAAGTGGTGGCAATTTCTGACTCAACATTTTCATCAATAAAAATCATTCTTAAAATGACTGACACTGCATTGGCCAGGGCAAAAGTCTGATCCCTTTGTACTTACTATATTGCATTAAATCATAAAATTGTACGGGGTCACATATAGCAAGGTGTATGAGTGAAGGCATCAGCATCTGACGTGTTTCTAGTGAACCACCTTGAAGTTCTCAGAAAGGAGGTGCAATCAGAGGGTGAAGTGTTAGTAGTTCTTCCGGCTTTTTATGACTCCTGTTTTGCAGCGTGATCATGTGCTGTTGTTTTGAACTTCACCCTGTGTTTGTTCTGTTTCCTAGATCTGCCTTTGTGATGAGCGCTCCCATAGTGATCAACCCTGAGGAAATTCATGTCTAGACTGATGAAGCTCAGGTTTATTGTCAGTTCCTCACTGAGAACATGGAAGGCTTTATTCCACCTGCATTTTTTTCCAAAGTCTTCCTAATTTAAAGGTCAACTGTCAACTGTTCCATGCCCTCTGCACATGATCTAGTACTTTTAGGATCTGAAAACCAAAACCACGTGTGAAATGTGCCAGGTTGACTTTCTATTGCTTGGTGGTACACAGGGTGTGTGTTTAAATTCTGAGCTGGATGTACTAAGCCTGGATTTTAGTGAACCAAGATGCTGTGCTGACACCATAGGTATGGACTGATCCTTGGTACTGGGTTTTCTTTTTCAAGTTGGGTACAATACCAGGCCCATGTTGAGCTATATCCATGCAGCATGAGTACGTCTGTATTTTACCTTTCCATGTTTCCTGTTTTGTATCCAAAAATGTCTTGGGATTGTGATCTTCTTCCTAAAGGACACCCAAAGGCTTATGCTGAATTCAGCCTGTTTTTTCTTTTCCTTAATCACAGAATCATACTTTATTTCCAGAAGGAGAATCCTTTAAACTCCACATGTCAACCACAGACTGTGCCCTGCACAGAGCAAAAACTGTCAGGCAGACAGGGGGAGGACTTAGGGTTGTGAAAATGGCTACTCAACAGCAAGGACCTCAAGAAAACTGTGTTCCTACAGAGGCAGAGCTAACCTGCTTCCACACCAAGCACTAAAGGCTGGCAGGGGCAGAAGCAGCCCATGTTTGGATGCATGAAGACTCCACATTATGAAAACCTCCCAAAAACAATACAAAAAGAAAAATAAAGCGTTTCAAAATTTGAGCCCAAAGGAAAAGCAAATTGACGTCTAACAAAAGACTGATTTTCTTCTCCCGTAGAGAGGTGTCTGCCACTTACTCGAGCTGGCAAGGCAGTGTCTCAAAGGGCAATTTAACCACGTTGCATAAGGCCTTGGCTGGGTGGCTGTAGAAATATAGGGCCTCTTATCTGAATGCTGGCCACAGCTGTTAGAGATCTTGAAGGAATTATCTCTGTGCCTGTCAAACATCTGCTTTGTAAGCAAACAAAGAAGCTGAAACACTAGCAGTGCACACGACCCACTGCAGCTCATGGGGCAGAGCCAGGAGGCAGCAAACGGGAAGCTTTTTCCCTGGCATCATAAACCTGATGTCCCATGAGTGACTCCAATGGATGGATAGATCTTCATTCCTCTGTGTTTTATAGACCTGTGCCTTGTCATTGAAAAATAGCCACTGTGGTCCAAGCACTGATCTCAGTGTCTTTGGTAAGCTATAAATTATCTACAGCTCTATGAATACTCTGGCATATAGCCTACAGAACTACATTTATTTTCTCTCTCACCACCCAGGAATTGTTCCATATAAATGTAGGTAGACCCAAAAGATCTGATGCTAAAAATTGGGATATGCATTGGGCCCCTTGGCATTAAATATCTTCTTCCCTTCCTGTCTTCCCTCCCTTAGCCATCACTGCATTTTTCCTCCAAAATACATACGCAGTGTTTGATCTTTGAACCAAGCTAGCTGCCTCCCTGTAGCTGTGATAGTTTCCCCATTACCAACACCCCCCCTCCCCCCCCAACACATAGTAAATACCCTTTGAGAGACTGGCCACAGAGAGTGTGGGATTCTTGCATGCTGTGTAACCAGAATACTCCGTGCTCTTTTTTTTTTTTTTTTTTTTTTTTTTTTAATATTAACACCAGTCCCATAAAACCCCTCAAGAACTGCATTGTTGTGTCTCTTTGCACGCATGCATGTGAGTCCAGATCTGGTCCAAGTGCAATGTGAACACTCAGTCTCCTGAAATGTAGATGTTGTGGGAGAATCTAGCTCAACTATGAGGACCAGGAACTGTGTGAGGATACTGATTTTGTATTTTGTCCATTCAAGACTTTCCTCCTTTGTTCTCTATCAAAAAATCACTTGCAGTGTAGAGGAGGATGGTGACAATATGAATGGGTGAACAGCCAGATGAATGAGTGTGAAGGGTTGTCCTTTGTTATCTCTCATCTGTTCTCCTGGTAGAGACCTCTAGGTGTTCCTACAGCATGTTCCTGAGATGTTTATTCACGTCTTTTTGAAAATATCTTAGTTCAAAGTGACGCAGCTTCACATTTTCTTTATATGTCTAATCAAATGCAAACAATTAAGATTGCCCAACCAAACTCTGTGCCAACAGGTAACTACAGTTCAAAGGGCCTTTTACTCAGTTAACAGGTTGGACAGCATTTTCTCCACACCCTTCAAACAAAGTTATGGTGTAACATCTAACAGGGCTTTTCTGTCAAAATCTCCAGTTCTAGCATGAGCGCTCAGGCCAACTGCCTGAGGTCCCAGGTCATGAAGGACACCTCTGGGCTAAGGAGAAAATCAATGCATGTCATTTAATGCTCATCTGGAAAATTGGGAGTGCAATCATTTCATGCTTGATGCAAGACCACAAGGCTATTGCCAGTTCCGCATGTGTCAGCTGGACACTAGCAAAGCAGTATCACCTTGCAATGAAAACAATCCTATCAAGAACTACTGACTAATTTCCATTCCAGTTATGTTGGTGCAATTTTTATCTCATTAATCTCAATGACACTGGGCAGAGGAGGTGTTAATATAAAGGAAAATTGTTTTTATAGTTACAGCTTAACACCATAAAGCAGAGAGTGTTTTTTGTTCCAAGCTTTACCACAGACTTGGGTTGCTTAACAAACCTGTGCCACAGGGCTTTTAATCTACAGCGTGAACAGTTACACTTACCTGTGAAACTAAAATCATTGCTGCCTTCAAAGCGCTTTTCATGGATGACAGTGCTGGTGTATAAATACCATTGCAGCATAGGTGGCTTGGACTTGTCATAGAGAGATCATCTCCAACTGTCTGCTCAGATGCTGTATTTTGAAGCTTCACATAGTTAAGTTTGTGTTCATCGTTCATGTGGATATTTGGATTTACTTTAGTGCGGGCTGGAGGTGGTATTTGGCTAAAACAGTGAGTGTCTCATTGTCTGAATGAAATCTGAATCTTCAAAGAAAGGAGAGCAGCAGGGAATGGATTTGGCCGAGGACTGGCTGTGAGATATGAGGCTCTGCAACTCCCAGGTTCAAATCTAGTAAAGTTAATAGAGATCGCATGGCTTTCCTGCCATCTGGCAGCCAGTTGTGAGTTGCATGCATTGTATTGGTGAGTTCTACTATCAAGTTACAGGACAAGTGACTTCATCAGCTTTAAGGACAAGCTGGGAACTGAGATGGAAGCTGTATCATACTGTGACATCCTAGGTTTGGTACTTAAGAGTGATGAGTGAGAGGAATGAATAAAGTCTTAGTCTTATGGCTTCCGTTTTTTTTTGATAAAGGAGGAGAGACCTTAGAACAGATGAACACCAAGGATTCTTACTGGGAAATCAAGTAGGCTGAAATCTTCTATCAGCTATGTGGTCCGTTTCAAGACACAAGATGACCATTGTGGTGTATCAGGAAAACTCACAGACCTAAACATACAACTTCTTTGGTTTGGCTCAGAAGACAGGCTAACATTGTGTGTTTATCCAGCTTCCTTGCCTTTTTTTAAAAGGGTGATCTATTTTTTATATTTAAATTTTTTCTGGGGGGGCCTTCACAGTCCAGGAATGCAAGGCAGATGTAGAGGGGTGATTTGCCAGCATGGCCAGCGCACCTGCAGGAGCTAAAAAATGTCCAGTATCTCAAGGATGTGCAGTGGTGTTATAAAGCCTGTATCAATCTTGCAAATTTCAGGGTTTTTACCCCTGAGGAACCTGAGCTAAGAGCTCTGACACAGCTCAGCTCCAGGCTCATAACCTCTCATGGCTTTCACGCTGCCTCAGCTGGTGGCCATTTTACAGCGGTTTAGGGCTTTTATATGCTGTGAAACTACAAGCCCTATGATTTCTGAAGCACACTGCTAATTTAAAAACAGCTATCAAGGCATGTTGTGGTCTACCAGGAGGGTAAAGGGTTTTCCAAATTTCTGCCTGCCCCACCTCATTTCTTAGGAGAGCTCTCATTTCTCCACAGGCTCTAGAGTCTGCTTGCAAACAAAACAAATGAGGGATCACTGTGCTTCTTTGAAGGGGGTGTTAATTCGTAGGTGAGACACTGGGAGGAATGTATTATCCATCAATTTATTAGTTTTCCTTTTTCCTCAGCACAGCTGAAGGAGGAATTCAATGAAGGCCACCTGGAAGCAGTGAGGCCAGAGAGCTCAGCTGATGCAGGTCAGGATCTCTGAGGGGCTGAAAGTGCCCTGTGTAGCCCAGGGAAGCTGTTTTAGTTCATAGACCTGCTTTCTGGATGGAGGTGTTTGGGCTTGTGCATGTAGTTGTGTTAAATGTTTTTTTGTTCTTGTTGCAGGAGTGAGCAGACTGGCAGCTCTGGTGATGAAAGAAGTGAAGCACTCGTGTGGTCTCTATTCTCTGAAGGCACCTGAGGGGAGCCCTGTCCCAGCAGAGCCTGCAGCACTGCTTGGGGAAGGCTACAGGGTAGCAGGTAAGGCTCTGCATGCCTCGTGTCATTGCATATTTGCACAGTGTAAATGCTGTAAAAACTCATCGTGGTGTGTGTGGGGAGGAAGTGCTTCATTATCTAGAGACCTGGGTGGACTGTATATGCATAGAGCTCCTGGCATGTATTTCTCTGATGTTTGGTTGCTTTCTTTTGCCTACATTTGCATTATCCATCTTAGTTTCTTATTTGTCATTGCTTACCTGGAAGCTGATAGCATCTCTCTTTGTCATTGCAACATCTCTTTTTTAGGTAAGGGGATGTGTATGTGTTGTTGGCTGTCTAGAACTGCAGTATCAAAAGGTTGGCTAATATAACTGAGGTCACGGGAGAGGCCTAACTGCAATGTGTGCGCGTGTCTCCTGCTGCCTGGGCTCAGACCTGGAGCTGCTTTTGTTACTGCATATTGGGTTTATGCCTCTCCTCACACTTTGTTTTGAGTTTGTGGTCACGGAAATGATTTGGTGGATGGTGCTGATGTGGTTCTTGGTTATGAAGTTTTAGAGGAGGGTGGGGTGAGTGTTTCTGGGGATTTTCAGGTGGAACTGGGTGTAGCAGGCCGAGGCTGGAGCTTCTGGTGTTGTGGAAAAAAGTCAGTATACTTGCATGAAACCAAGCAGTAAATCATGGGCATTGTGTCAGGTTGAAACATGAAAGCAAGTAACAAACCCCCTTGTCACTCATTTCCTTACTGCTAGCAAATAAGAACTACATTGTGATTGTGCAACTGGGGAAACTGAGGCAGGGAGTGACTGAGACCACACGTGAAGTCATTGAAAGGCTTGGAGTGTCATCCAAGGATTCTGGGTGTGACCTCTTGTTTGAAATGATGATTCTTGGTGTCTCAGTTTGAGATCTGTAACAAAGTCTGGTGAATGTGTGTGCTTTTCCCCTCCCACAGCCTCCTCCATCTGTCTGTTGACTCCTATCTATGAGGTGTACAGTGCATGACTTTGAACACTGCAGAAGTAAACTGTCCGGAATAACATTTGGTTTTGAGAAATCCTTACCTTGCATCCAAGTTCTTCCTCGAATAAGAAAGATTAGCTATGGGAAATGGTTCTATCTACGTGTAAACTGAAGCTACGGTCTAACAGAGGGGAACGTACTCATCTCTTGTCTGCTGTAGTGCATAGGTGAGAATGGGCTTCCACTGTGCGTGATTTACCACTGTGCCTGGTTTATACAAAAGGTTTATACAAAGAACAGCAGGTGTGGCTGCAAACCTGCTAGAATGTATTTTTCTCAGTGTGACTTGCACATGTTGAAACCAGGGTCTCACCAAGTAAATCACAGATGGGTCTGTGAGAGGGACAAAGAAGTTAAACCTTAGCGTGTTTGGCATGTTAATGTGGGGGCTGAGAACTCTAAAGGGAATATCCCAGAGGCATGTGGTGAGCAGTTTTGGTTTGGCACAGATAATGGGAGGCTGCATTCATAAAGGACTAAGTGTACAAGTTTATTAAAACACTAGTAGTCTGTTGTCTTCCTCCAGGATAAATCTCTTGTCTTCTTTCGTAACACTTCATAGAGCATGTTGAGACACAATTGAGAACACTGCAGTTCTCGTTTAGAAGCAGGGAGTGTTCCTGTGAATGGAAAGGCTCCGTTTGAATTAATCATGGGTGATTAGGCATCGAATGGCCTCTTCAGCTTTTTTAGATCTGAGGTCCCCAGCAATAGCTGATGTGAAAACGGTGTGTTGTGCATGACAGTAAGAGCTGGCATGTGAGGGCATGTGTGTAGCCTTGTCTATAGGCATGTATTCGAGTTCTATTTTTCCAGCCTTGCAGTTTCATACGGGATATGTCTCCCTGCTGTCTGCATGATCTTTTTCTCTTGTTCTCAGAAATATTTTTTGGGGGGGAATTGCAAGGAACTACTGTGTTGTCAGGAATGTGTGCACATGTAGAAGCAATACTGGTAACATCATAACCCAAAAGGCATAACCCAAAATGGAAAAATGGAAGGTTGAAATGCAGAATACTTTTTTGCTTTTTTTTTTTTTTTTTTTGGGGGGGGGGGGGGAAGGCTTAAAATAAAACTGCTGCAAAAACAACAAAACAATGCATAGAAAAACACATTATTTCGTTTTTCTTACTCATGTCTGGTTAACTTTTTTTTGGTACATGAATAAAAGCAGAAAACACACTGAGACATTCCTTTTTGGCAGTGTCCCAATACATGTTTCAGATGTAGGCCTGCCATTGATCTATTCAGCCCTTTCTCTGGGGAGTTTCACAGTGAGTCTTAATTCCTAAAGGCTGTCTCTCTTTACACCTCTCCATGTCTTTGCTCATTGCAAGGGAGAAAAATCTTGTCAGATGTCTAAAAACTGATTTCAAAGTGGAGTAAAAGATGAGATGTCTTTTTGTTCTGCATTTGTATAGCCCATGCTCAGCATGGGCTCATGACTGAGACTCTTGATTCATATATCAAAATGGGAAAGCTAGTAAAATAAGCTGGTATCTGGTGCAGGCCAAATTCCTAAATCTGGTCAATGGGGAAAAAGCAAGGCTCTCCAAATGCCAAAGAGACCATCTGTTGACATGTTATGCCAGGTCTCTAGACAGGCAGTACAGCTCAAATTGTGAAACCATCTAAAATGTTGCATAGATAATAGTCTGGGATATGAAACTTCTAAGTTGTGATGAATCTGCAAAAAATCCTGCAGTGTAAGTTGCACTGTCTGGGAAGGCAGCGGTCGGAAAAAATAACAATTCAACTGACTCCCCAAACCTGCCTACCAGTGAATCTTGACATATTGTAGGGCCAGGCACTGCACTTGATGAGACTGATGCATTTCAAAAGATTTTATTAGAGCTAGAACATTGTAGTCAACTGTCCTATTCATGTTCTTGAAAGGTACCTCTTGGCAAAATATCTTCACTGAGACTCTCTTTAATGTAGTGAGTCCCTATTGTAATGATTCATATGAAAGAAGATGGATCCTTGACCCCTGCTGAATTCTGTTTTGCATACTAATGACACTTCAGAATGAACAGAATATGGGGGTAATAAAAATTTAGCCCAGTTTAAGGTAGGTTAAAGGAGGAGGTGTTGCTAAATGGATGCCATGCTGTTAATTGCTGAGCAGGTGCCTCCCAGACTGTAAGAAGCCTTTACAAAGCTGCCTCTGGGAGGCAAGATGCCGAGTTGATTCTAGCCTGACAAATGGCTACAACACTTCCTTAAAGAGGCTGCTACAATAATTCAGCTGAGATTAGCTATGTTCTAGGTTTGTTTTTACCGTCTGAATGCTTGTCCTTTCCTAGTTCCAATTTGTGTGATTAGGGGCTTAATCCTTTTGCTGTGTTGTTGTAATATGTACTATTTTATACAAATACTATTTTTTTTAAGTGCCCCAAGTGGGTGCAGATAGAACTGCAGCACTCTTAAGATGGCTGCTTTTTTTCTGGAAAGGTAGAGAATCAAATTAAACTGGTCTTGCAGATCTATCTGCTGTGATAGCTGCCCTTTAACCAACAGACATTTCCCTGCAGGTTCTACTCCAATGGTGACCTTATTCTCCTGACTTCCCTTTTGCACAGTGAGATACTTCCCAGCTGATGTTGCAGTGAGAAGCCATCGTTGTGGGCCCATTCTACAGATGGGAGTGTCCTTACCCTAGTTTCTATAAACTGTGCGACAGAAACTGTGAGGTTTCTGTACTAAAATTAAGCACAGGCATGCAGAGAATTGGAGAGAACAGAAGCAAGTGTGTGATCTCATTTGTAACTGTGTGTGTTCTCTGCATTTGTATTTGAAATGCATTCATTTTTCTGTATCTGCTTGGGAGACCTGTTTCAAAAAAGAAAAGGAAGAGCAGAAGCATTTTACTCCAGGATTGTGATGGTTGCTTTTGGCAAGAGGTGGGATCAGTTTCTAATTTGACAGGGTCACTCCCTGTTGTGTCTTACAGCATCTTGTTCAAGCATCTGTCAGTGTTTTGGGTATTTATGGGCACAGATCTTTAATGGCAGTAAAATGTGTGTAGTATCAGCAAAATAATGGTCTCTTGGAGACACCTTAGATGGTTAATTGAGGGGCCTTCCAATGCCTGCCTGAAGGAAATGTTTAAAGGCATGGAGGCAGTGTCATCCTGCAGCGTGAGAGGCTTTGAAAAATATGCATGTGCTTGTCTTATGTAGGTGACAAATGGATTTCATGGGTGTATGCTCAGGGTTTATGTCCCAAAATGTTTTCTGGAGCTGCAAAAAGGACTGAAGGAAGTCTTGGGGAATCTGGGATAAAGCTGTGAAGAAGACTGGCTTTTAGTAGGGCTCTGTAGATTGGGAATTATGTAGATTTCTCCATGTAGCACCATGAGACCTTTGTATTTTAGAGCTATTTTATTATATGGAGTCTTAAATTGCAGTGAATCATACCTCAAAAATAGCAGGAAAACTTTTTTTTTTTATATGCGTTCTAATTCTTTTTTTCTTCTAATTTACTAGTGGCTGAAGTCTGCAATAACGTAGTTGCAAGTATGATGGTCATCACCTGCTAGCTGTGGGCAGCATGTGCTACACATCAGGTCTTCCCTGAGTCACTGGTGAGGGCTAATTGTGCACACACACAGGCTGTTCCAGCTTGTGCTAAGGTTCACATTTAAGAATTTTGTAATAATACTTGGATTTGCCTGGCTATCTGTGCAGGCAATGAGGAACAGTTATAACTGCTCTTAAATTAGGAGCATGTGGTAGAGATCAGACCATGGCCTGTGAAGATCCATCTTCTCATCTGTGCTTGTTGCCAGTGGGCACCTATTTCAGTAGGCGTATCTCAGTGTAGCTCTGAGCCTTTTTCAGAAATGCTGGTTTCCAGCAATTCCCATTCCTGCTCTGAACTTCAACCTCATTCTGTGCTGAGACTGATAACTGTACTCTCAGTGGTGACTAATGAGTTGAGAGGTGATTATAGGATTAGGCAGTATCCCCAAGCTGTGGGAAATCCTTTCTAATACAGTGGCACACTGAAGTGTGACACTTACTTGATAGGATAAGGTATAGCTCTTTGCTGTATGACTGGATTTGTTTGCTCGTTTCCAGTCATACTGGGCAAACTGTGTCCGGTATGTGGCAGTAATTGTGACAAGGAGTTGTACTGAAGATGTACTGAAGGCTCCCTCCCTTCTTGCTTACTTGTGTGTTAATATGCGGTTGTTTCCATGGTTTTCTTGTGTGGCATTTTTGGCAGGAACATGGGACCTAGAGCTAGGAGACTCTTCATGTGTCACCATTCAGCAGGGCTTCAGCAGGGTCACTTAGCTGTGCAAGAAAATGTGCTGACTCTGCTCCCCATCTTCTGGAGCCGTGTGTGTGCATCTGCATGCACTTGTGCCACAGAAGCAGCCAAAGGCCCTTCCTACTCAGAGTGTCTGTCGTCATGTGTTTTAAATAATCTGAAGCTAAAACGGGAGCACTCACTTTCCCTTCCTCTCCAGGAGCCCAGAATAGGCAGCAGAGTCTGCCTTAAAGGCTTGCAAGATAATTGTGCAAGATGTTGGCAGTGAGAGCATGTGGCACGTGTCTCCACAGCTGGGGAGCTGTTGCAGAAAGGAGGTAGGGGACCCTGTGCAGGACTGCAAAAGATGCCATCATAAAAGCCCTGCCTGTGTTGCCAGCTTGCAACTCCTGTGGTGATGGAGGTGAGTTTTTGTAGAAACCGTGACCTTTGGATCTACTTTCCTTATAGTGTGTTGTCCAACCACAAGTCTACAAACTATGTACAGGAGTCATTTTCCCATACAGAACACTTCTGTCTTCTAGTAACACATAAATGTGAGGTAAATTAAGTAAGAAACAAACAGTTCTTAATTTAATGGTGACAACAGTAGGACAGGTGAGATGGATGGTGGTGGGTCACTTCTCTGCAGGCCTGGGAATGCCATCTTCTGGGTGGAAACGCACCCTGAGAAGGTGTGCAACTCACATCACTGGAGGCCAGTGTGCTGCCTGTGCTCATGCTTGCTTGTGAACGGGTGTGGAACTCCAACTGCACTTTTGTGAATGTGTTGTCTCTATGATGCCTGTACAGGAGTGATTGTTACTCATATAAACATCTTCCCTGTCAGGCAAACAAAGCCATTTGTGCCCAGACAAGTATTTGCAGCACTTTGTTCTGGTAAATCATTTTTTAAAAAACATTGCCACTCAGCTGTGGAGAGGAAATAATGCCATCCCCGAACAAATAAAGGGCAGCAAACAGTCTGTGGTCTCCTCAGGCTAGAAACTGTTTGTTCAAAAGATTTAGCGCTTATTGTCAAGTAACAAAGATCCTCACGAAAGCACGGAATAGAAGATGATTGGTGTGGGTGCTTGTTTTGTCTTGTCTTTTTTTTGTTGTTGTTGTTGTTCCCAGCCTGCCTTCCCTGTACCCATTTGCTGCATGCATGCTGTACCTGGCCCTTTGTGTGCTGATCTCTAAAGGCTGTTGCACACAGAGTATGATTAAATGGCTTGGACAAGCAAGAGTAGTGATCTCTTAAGGAAAGGTGAATGCAGTTAAGAATTGCCCTTGATCTGTTGACTTTGTACTACCAGAGATGAGATTTTCTGATTCCTCCTGGTTATGGCACTGGCAGAAAAACATCAGATACCCACATTAGTTTACTTGGGCTGAGCATAACACAAGATGACAACAACGTCTTGACAAGACAGTCCAAGAAAGCTCCTCAGAGATCGGGAAGGGGATAGCACAAACTGTGTTGCAGTCTGCACCATTGGAGCTGGCACATTTGTCACCTGAGTTTGTGTACAGATCTGCAGGTGGAGTACTACCCCTGAGCATGATCTTTCAGTGCACTTGTTCTTCTATACATATATACAAATACCTTATATCTAATCAAATATCTTCTCTCCTATCTTTTTCCTCAAATAAAACGGGGAAGTATCCTGCTGTTGTGGCAAAGTCCAGCAAGACCTTCCCCCAAGCTCGCTCTCTCTTTCTCTCCTTGGCTGTTATCTATGCTATTTCTAGTGTGTCTGCAGAGATTTGTTAACTGAATTGGATTGTAATCCATTAGGTGCAACCCTTTATATTGCTAATTGCTACTGAAGTCTTTGCTCGGATGTACAGGCCTGTTTCAAATAATGGAAGACTGAGGTGAGTTCAGTTTGGGATCACAGGCTGGTAACTTACTTGGTAGCATCTGTCATTGATTATTCTTCACATTCTATGGGCTGTGAAGATCACATTGCATAAGGCACACGGTCCCTTATTGCCTGCATCAGGAGCTACATAACAAGCTGCTGCTGGAATTAGACTGGAGTACTTATGTACTGTGCTGTAGTGTGCTCTATGTATGGCAGATTACCTAACAGTCCTGCTTAGCAATACGTGGTAGAGTAGTAAGATGCAAAGTAGTACATGATGAGATCACTCTACATAGTTTTAAAACCTCTTAAGCTATGGGACAAAATGGTTACCTTACATTCAGAGTGACCTGAGTCATCCTGAATAATGTTGACTACACACATACCAGAACTGCAGTCTTACTATAGAGGTTACTGCATCAGGACTTGCCCGTGGATACACTTGCCTGTGTGAGTAATTGCAGTGAAGTTTGTAACGCTTATTAAGAAGGTACAACTTCTGGGAACTGGGTCAGATCAGGCCTTGGTATCTTATTGTAGCATGCACTGTACAAGAACACTTTGTTCCATTACACTTGTACTTGTACTGATAGCTTTTAGTGCTGTAATAGCCGTGATTAGCGGCCGCTCTTCTCCCATACAAACATCTTTCCCATGTAGATTTTCTGGTAATTCTCCCATTGGTCTCCTGTTGGATGTTGGTTTTCCCAGAGCCTGAGAGGTTCTGCCGCTTCTGAGATGGGCAGATATGGGAAAACATGCTCCAAGAACATCTTTATGTCAACACAGTAGGAAAGTACCTCTGTGCATGACATGAAGGGCAAAGCTTTAAATCTTTAGAATTAAACTGAGGTATTAGTAAGCAACCAGAAAGTGGTAAAGGCTAATAGGAGAAAGTATGGTACAGATGAGGTTAGAAGCAATTAAAGTGATTGTTCATCTGCATAAAGCTCTGCTCCCAAGTTTTTAATGCTACAATCACCAGCAGCAGAATGAAATTGCATAACTAGTCCTGCCCTTGCTCAGGCATGCAGCCACCCTGATGACCCTGTGACTGTGGAGTGTCCCAGCTCAGAACCCTCCTTCCCTCCTGCTTGGTGAAAACTCAGCCCTGCAGAAAGAGATGGCCACAGTGCTCCTTCAGTGCATTGTGGTTTCGTGTTCATCTCAAGCTCTGAAGGAATGTTTGTGCTAGGAGCTGAACCAGGAAGGTTCTTGTTATGTTGTGCTGTGTGTTATTTAACTTGTGACAACACTTACAGAGTTGTAACCCTGCCGAATTTTGGCTGAGGTGTGTGGCTGCATGCTCCAGCTTCCCGTGATTAGAGTAGGCTCCAGCAGTGCTCCTTGCCTTTGATCCTAGCGTTCAGTCAGCTGCAGGTATATTTTTAAGTCTGAGGCCAAATTCTGCTTCTGTGTGAAGCCCTGCAGCTTAGAATAGCTCAGCTGATTATCTGAGTGCCTGAGACCAAAGCTGGTGTGTGTAGCGCGGTGAGCAATGCTGCTAGAGGAGCAACCAGCCCCTCCGAGAGGGCCAGATGTCGCTGTGACCTTGCTCGATTGCTATTGTATATAAAGTGGCTTTTGTCAGGCAAATTAATTCAAACACTGACATGTAACCAACAGCTGAGAAATCACACCCAGTGTTTGCTTAACCTGTTGCTTTGGGGGTCTGTCTGAGTTATGTCACTCTTCTGAAGCAAATACTGTTAAGGTCAAATTGTTTAGCTCCTGGTTCCTGTTTGGTAATTTTGATATATTTGCGGTTGTCATGAGGCTTGCTTCAGTGCTCCTTTCAATTTCTTTACTTCTAGCCAAAGTGAGATGTATTTGTCAGATGAAGCAGGGAAAGTAAAGATGATAAAAGTGATACAGGAGCACATTAAGGGAGGAAGCAGATGACTTTCTGTTCTTTCTGTTGCATATGCAACTTCCTGGGGTTACCCTGCCTAGTGCGGTTCAGAGGGGAGAAAAATGCTTAAGTGGACCAAAAGGCGGCTCCATGTGTGAGTCTGCATCGTGGCTGGCTGCTGTTCAGACTGCTGCGGCGTGCAGAGCCTTTGTAGCCACTGATAAGTAGGGCTTGCTCTACTGAACTGGTGTACAAAGCACTTCAAAATGCAAAATCATCTCTAATTGCTTGTAGTAATAGCTTGTGTATTGTGCCCTTTGCCCCTCTATATTCTTTCTTTGATTCTCGGCTTATTTATAAAATTTAGCAAGTTACCTTTATAGCTGCTTCTAATTTAGGAAACTAGTGAAGCAAAATGGAAAAATAGCTCGCAAGTAGTAGTGCTGCGTCACACATCTGGTCTTTCTGCCATGTTCGTTATTCTCTATTCCCATGTCTTGACTATGTATGTACTTCTATTTCCCCAGAGAGCCTCGATACCTGCTAAGAAGACAGGCAAGGTAGTAGGCAATGAAACAGACAAAGCTGGGATCCTGCCTTGATCTGATCAGGGAGATTGTGAAATGTTTAATAGCTGTTTATAGACTCTCTGAAAGGTGTTAGCATCCAGATAGAGGAAAAGGATTGCTCAAGGAGCAGCCAAGATCAAGGCTATAACCTGGAGGAATTAGTTAAATTAAGCAATGGAAAATGAAGCATGTACATCAAGAAATTCTTTCTGGCAGTTAACTCCTTGAGGTTGTCAGAATTTCCCAAGAGGTGAGATGGACTTGATTAAACTGGATGCATACCTAGGACCAGATTACGAAGCTGGGATGTAAGAATGAGCTTTTCCAGAGTCTGGAAGTAGTGCTTAGGTATAGGACACTGGCCTAGATCTTTCTTCCAGACCGGACTCTTTCCCCCTCCAAGCAGTGCCTTCCCAGGGTGGTGTTGTTAGATGCAGTGAGCTGAGTGGCAGAGCGAGGAGGCTGTCCTGTTGAATTTCTACCTTCTGTTTTACTTCCCAAACCTGATGTAACCCTAAAATGAGAGATC